GGACTCCACCTCAGACTGAACACTCTCAGAACCTAGTTTTGTGGTAGGACTAGACAGACAAGGAAATTCAGACTCATTGAAGATTACATCCCTACTGATCACTACCTTAAAACCCACCTGGTTTCTATCCCACAGTCTATAACCTTTTACCCCCTCAGGATACCCTAGAAAGACACACTTCTTAGACCTAGGATCCAGCTTATCCAGCTGTTGATGAACATAGGCAGCATAACCAAACACTCTAAGGTTGGACAAGTCTAGGGGCTTTCCAGAGTAAACTGACTCAGGGCACTTTCCTCCTAAAGGAACGGAGGGGGACCTATTTACCAAATAGGCAGCAGTGTTAACTGCTTCACCCCAGAATTGCTTAGACAGACCAGAGGTGGCAAGGAGACTTCTTACTTTATCAAGCAAGGTTCTATTCATACGCTCAGCTACACCATTCTGCTGGGGAGTATAGGGCACAATTTTGTGCCTTTTTATTCCCCAGTCAACACACAGTTGATTCATCTCCCTATTATAGAATTCTAGGCCATTATCAGTTCTAAGGGCTTTAACCTTCAGATCAGACTGGGTTTCAACTAGGGTTCTCCACTCCCTAAACTTCTCAACAACATCAGACTTATTCTGCAAGAGACAAACCCAAACTTTCCTAGAGAAATCATCTATAATAGACAGGAAGTATCTCTTACCACCATGGGTGGAGATACTGGCAGGGCCCCAGACATCAGCATGGACATATTCTAAGGTAGAGGTACATTTAGACAGATTTGGATAGGAGGAACTAGGGAAACTGATCCTATGCTGCTTACCAAGCACACAAGCTTCACAGAAAGGCACAGAAGATACACAATCCTTACCAAAGTAACCAGATTTATGCATGATTTCTAGACCCTTATTACTCATGTGACCTGTTCTATTATGCCACAACACAGAGCTATCAGGACAAACAACATTAGCAGAATAAGAGAAAGGAATAGCATGGCACACATACAGATTATTCACTTTCAAAGCTTTGAACATAACCAAGGAATTTTTCAAAACCTTCATGCAACCATTACCCCATTTTCCCTCTAACCCACTATCCTCAAAAGCAGCAACTGAAAACAAATTATGGCACAGATCTGGAACATGCCTCACATTTTTCACAGTGTACATAGTCCCATTATCAAACTTCAAACATATGCTCCCCACCCCATGCACTTTGCACTTCTTACTATCAGCTAGAGACACATAGCCATCATCACAAAGATCATAGGAAGAAAACAAGGATTTGAAAGGAGTCATATGATAAGTGCAACCAGAGTCAATAAGCTATTCATTTTCAGTCAAGCCACTTAGCACAGAGTTTGCAAAGTCATAAACCATAAACACATCATCATGTATATCATTAGAGACAACAGAGTTGGCCTGGTCAGACTTTTTAGGACTGGGACAGTCCTTTATGAAATGGTCAGACTTACCACAATTGTAACAGACCCTTTTCTTAGACTTACCTCTCTTCGTACTAGGCTTCTGACTATTCTTATCTTGATTTTCCTTCTTGGAGTTCTTAGACCTATTCTTAGACCTACCCCTCACAAACAAGGCCTCACCAGAATCACCAGACTGATTGCCATGACCCCTATTTTGTTTCAAATCAAGTTCTTTACTTTTTAAGCCATTAACCACAATATCTAAAGTAACATCATCTCTACCATACTTGATGGCAGATTTGACATCACTATAAGAATCAGGAATAGCATTGAGCAAAATAATTGGGGTGTAGTCATCAATATGTTTGTCACAAGCCTGTTTGATGTTTTGGACAAGTTTGTTAAAAATATCCAAATTTTCATCTATATCCTTAGTAAGGTCAAGTCTGAATCGGAAAAATTTTTCAAGTAAAAATAGTTTGCCTGGTAAGGAGGTATCAGTATACAGACTATCAAGTTTTCCCACAAATCTTTTGCAGAGTCAAGTATACCAACTTTCCTTAACACAGAGTCAGAAAGATTTAAGTAAAATGTTGAACATGCAGTTTCATTCATTTCAAGTTGTTTAGCCTCATTTTCAGTTTCTAAAAATTTGCCAGTGACAGCTCTGAAAACCTTTTGTTGTATTAAAACACATTTAATCTTTTGCTTCCAGATATCAAAATCGGGTTTCCCATTAAAGGGCAACATTCCATATTGATTAGCAGCCATGGCAAAAAACACAGAAACCTAAGAAATGCCACACAGACACAACAAGTGAAAACCCTAGAGTAGGTCAGGCTGCGAACTAGAGGATCGGCTGGTAGGGTATCCCCTAGCCCTAACACCACGCGCCTTTACTAATCAGGGAGAATCACTCAAGTTAACCGTGGACAGACAGACAACAGAGGAACGAGAAACAACACTCACAAACAACAAACTCACAGAATCCGGAAAGATGCAAAGGAACCAGCCCCAACCCACAACACCAAACACACAGAGAGATAATCAAGAACACAAACCAATCACGGGTCTGAACATGCAACAGGCAGATCAACACATGCAAAGGAGAGATTCAGCGACATATCTGGGGTGATGGCGGTCGGGATAAAATCAACCGACGGTCGCGTAGGGAAAAGGGGAAGTAAAGTAAACAAAATCCGGAGGCACCCGGTGCACCTAGGGTGTTTCAAGCCAATTTACCTGAGCGGATATCCAGGGGGATTATCCGACTTACCATACACGAAGAGGAAGGAGCCGAGCTCGTCAGAGGCGAGTAGCTGTTGGGTTTCCGGTGGAGCTTTTCGGTGAGAAACGGCGAGGACCAAGCTTTGATACCACTGTAAGGTTGATAGAACTTCCGGCTCAGGTCTCCAGCCACACGAACCCGAGGGTTCTAAAACAACTCACAACCACCACAAAGGACCTACCGGACCGGGAACCACCACCAAGGTACCAGAACCCAAACCCCAAACCCAGCTACCCTCTCAAACCTCTCCCTAGAGCTAACAGAGCACACACACACACACACACGAAGGAGGTGAATAGAGGAGCGGAAGAAGGAGAAAGGCTAGAGAGAAGCCAGACCCTCTCTCTCTAAACGCAGAAGGCTCTAGAACTAGGGTTACAAGTATGCGGCTCTCTTACCGAGCAAAGAAGAAGGAAAGGGATAAATAGGCGGGTCAAGAATAGCCCAATAAGGTAAGTAGGTCAAACAGGGTAAAGGGGCCGAATCACAAAGGAGTGGGTCAAACAAAGAAGGTAAATGGGATGGGTGATATCCAAATGGTAAAGGCCTAAGTCCCGGGTAAAATTGGAGAAGAAGGCCAAGGCCCATATGACCAATACTTCTCACATGAGTATTTTACAACCATATAAGGTTGGTGCGTTGCTACATGTAGACTGTTGCATTTTTATTACTTCCTTATATACGATGTTATATGAATCTTAAATTGATTGAGTTTGAATAAGAAGAAACGATATAGAAGGAAGGTGATTCAAAAATATCAAGGAAGGTTCACTGTCTAAGGAAAGGGAGTGCCAACGGACTTCTCAAGCTATAATTGAGAGACTTACACGAAAGAATTAAAGAGTTCAAGACACCTGAACCTGCTCACGAGAGTTCTAGAGATAGTTTCTTTTTCCCTTCTCCTTTTTGTAAACGGGTTTTGAGGAATTATTGCTAGGTGTAGCATCCTCGGGTTGGTTAGTGTGTGTTGTGAGAGCTTTGTTGTAAAGCTGAGAGACTCTCTACCCAAAAGGTAGAGAAGCGTAACTCCTCTAAAGAGGATAGAGTTGGGGTGACTCAAAAGGTGGACTATGAGAGTTTATCTTGTAACCACAAAGGCTTTATAGTGAAGTTGTTAAAATTCCTCCGAAGGAGGTCAATGTTTTTTAATCCCTTTTGAGCCAATGGATTTTTCCTCGTTAAATCCTTGTGCAATTACTTATTTCATTTCACCCTATACCCCACACTAGAACTGGGCGAAAAACAGCCACAATTCCACACACACACACAATTCACCCCCCTCTTGTGTTGCTAACCGTTTCATCAAAATGTAAATTGAATTAATTGATTAGTTTCACAAATGTAAGAGCTCGTTTGATGATCCTATTTTTCGGCTTATCAACCAACTTTTTCACGAAAAACGTAATTTTTAATTCCGCGCGCTGAATTGTGTAACAATAAGAAAAGGTAAGGTTGAAGTTACTTTTCTGCTTGTATTGACTGAAGTTATTGTAGAATACTCCATCCGTCCCGCTAACAATGGGACAAGAGGGAGTGACACGCAAATTAATAAAAAATGGTTTATGTGGTTGATATTGAATTGATAAAGTACGAATAAAGTAAGAATGATTTAGAGCCACACAAACTTTACCAAATTTGGTATGAGACAATCTTAGTGGGACGGACCGATAAGGTAAAATGGGACAATCACAGCGGGACAGAGGTAGTAGCATTTTAGCTATTATTCATACTCCGTATATTTTTTTCTTTATTTTATTAATAAAATATATTTTAAATATACTTTTTTCATGAATCATCAGAATCAATCAACGCATCCTGAACTTCATAAGTTTTTAATAGAATAAACCGATTCAGTCGATTTGAGCGTTGTCCGGAGTAGGGGTGTTCGTCGGTTCAGTTTGGTTGGTTCGGTTTGGTTAATTTCGGTTTTAGAAAAGGTGAAACCGAAAACCGAACCGCAGTACTTGAGTCAGTTTCGGTTCGGTTTTGGTTCGGTTATTTTCGATCGGTTTGATCGGTTTCGGTCGGTTTTAGCATGTTTTTGTCGGTTTTGCCGGTCGGTTTCGGTTCGATCGTTTTTTAACCCAAAAGGTGAAACCGTAAACTAAACCCTCAATGATTAGTCGGTTTGAGTCGGTTTCGGTTTGATTCGATTTCGGTTTTGATCGGTTCAGTTTCGGTCGGTTTGTAGGTCGGTTTCGATTTTTCAGTTTTTTTGTTCACCCGTATGATCGGCCTCCGGATACAGGAGTGTGTTGGCGGTGTTGCCTCGTATGATAAATTGTTATTATTACCAGCCACAAAATTATTCAGGAGGGCCATCATCTTGGCCGTTTGATCAATAAAGCTTTTCGCTTTCCCTCTAAAAACCTTTCAATGGCTTCTATTCCTTCAGCTCTACTGAGTCTTCAACTTCCCGAGCATCAATGCCCTCATCTCACATTACACTTTCCCAGAAATTCAAATACTGCCCCTTCTCTCTACTTCCCTGGACCTGGTTTTCACACAATAAATCCCCTCAAAATCAAGTCCTCAAGAACAGTCAAATTTGCTGCCACGGAATCAGACTCCAGGAAACCCCTAGAGCCGGACCCTCAAACTCTTCTCCAAGAAGTTGCAGTGAGCTCTAAACCTTCTTTTTGGCGTGAATTTCATTATTGACGAAGCTATTGCTAGTATTTTGATTATTGTCTTTTCAGGACAGTTTTGCCCTCCCTGCTGATTATTTTTCTCAGCTGCCTAGCGATCTTCGTCTAGATGTCAGTTCGGTTCTAGGTTATCTTACTTATTTTCAATTGCTTTCGTTATCATTTGCAAACCCCCTATTTTGTAATATATGCCTTGTTAATTAGTAAACCAGGAATCGGTTAGCCTCTTCTGCCAGTTAGACGTTTCTATGGGAGACAAAATTTGTTGTACATTGAATTTAAAGCTTAATTTTTTAAAGCTGAAGTATTAATAAAAGGGAATACGGTGTCAGAATTTATGTGCATATCGTTCATCTATGATGATGACGCTTTGGAATTTAACATCATTATTCCTTCTTAAGGAATGTATCCCAGTAAAACTTTGACAATTAATTGGGTCATGAATTGATAGTGTGAACTGAATTAGAGTTTAGACAATGCAATGACACTATAACCTTCATCTCATTATGTCATGTGTTATTTTAGTAATTTATTCTTAAATTTGAGTTTTTCTCTTGGAATAATGTGGCGGGGTCGGATTACCTGTTCATTCTCTTGACTTTTTCTTTTAAATGGTACGAAGTTAAACGATGCTGCCTTTGATCTTTCAAATGGTCAAGTTCAACTAGAGGCAAGTTATTGCCATTATTTTCTTACTTTTATCAGTTGCTCTTTATTTTCCTTACCGAATGCATGATAAAAAGATGATCTTTGAAGTTTAACTTCCCAGTGTGGTGAAGAGCTCGGGGAGACATTGGTAAATATTAGTCGAGCATGGGAACTGGCTGACACATCAACCTCCTCAGCTTTAATGAACAAGGTCCCTCAGCTAGAGAGCTCTTTGACCGGTTATCAAATATCAGGCAAGAAAGACATATGAGGATTGCTTTTCAAGCACTTAGTTAATTAAAATGAATATAGAAACGCTGAACTATGCTATTATTGTTGGTTAGCACTTGGAAAGCGCTTATTATCTGCTGGAAGGAGGTTTCAGGCCATGGGACAGTATGGTGCAGGTGAAGTGCAGCTGGTAGCGCATTCGAACTTTATTTTTATCATTTATATACAATGAGCTTTTATATAAATGCAGCAGTTTTTCTTTTTCCTTATTTAGTATTTACACAGAACCCACACTGTTTGACTTCAACAGAAAAATATAATAGCCAATTTATGTGAAGCAAAACTGCAAAAGCAATCAACTTCTGGTTCTCAAAGAGTGTAGTTTTAGAAATTTGCATAGGTTAAGAAAATCACTAAATGTGATAGAATTTACATGTAAACAAATCTTAATTAATACCCATTACTTTAATAGATGATTCAGATGAATATTAATGGCAAAGGTGATAATTTAGCATTAACTGATTTCTTGATTTCATAAAAAAAACACATCAGATAAGAGAATGCCAGGCTAGGGTAAGTCATATATGCAAAGATGCTTCTATTTAATCCAAACATTCCTCTCTTACATTCATCAAAACTGTACAGTAGTGATCTAAAAACGTGCTAGGTAGCAGAGTAGGACCTACGGCTAGACATTCTTAGACAGGGATCAATCGAGTTGTATGCGGGTTAGTGAGGCCTAAAATTACTTTGTTGTGTAACTTGTCTTTTGCTTGACGTCATTTAATTCGTCATTGAATATTTGAGTTGATACAGATTGCTGAAGTGATGATAAGGAATGGGATGATTTTGTCCAGATGTTCAGTATCTGGAGGTACTGATCAAAAATTAAAGCAACAAACCCAAACTCTTAAGGTAGTTAGTGTGTTATCTTTGAAGTTGGAAGATTTATCTTGCAACTAGGAGGGAATTTGTTAGAGGGTATTTCTCTGGCGCAGTTTGGTGAGCTTCAGGTTGCACTGACCTCAGGAAAAGCATACTTTGGAGCTGCCATTGGTGCGGTGTTTGGGTATTTGTTTCATTTTATCTATTTTTTTAAATTTCCATCTAAAACTAGTGTGGGCGTTATTATTGTTGTGGTTGTTGTTCTTGTTTCTATCATCTTAATCTATTTTTTTATTATTATTTTTTTTAACTCCAGGGGGTCTTGGGCTGGGGGTTGGGGGGCCTGGAGTAATCAGGTTTGAAACTCACTCCATTGAGTTTCAAACCCTTATGTGCCTAGCGGGTTTCGAACTCGAGAACTCCCACTAGACACGGTAACCTCACAACCAGCTGGGCTGGAATGCTTGGTTAATCTATTATTATAATAATAATATTGTTAATAAAGTTTAGTAATGAATTTATAAAACGTTCTAATTGAAAGTGATTTAATAAAAGATACCATCGACTCCAATGAATAGTAGGCTTGCCCCTTATACACCCTTATGGTGGGACCCTTCCGCGGACCCTCACATTGCAGGGATGCCTTCGTGCACCGGGCTGCCCTTTTATTGACTCCAATGGATTTGTCTTCAAGTCCTCATCTGAAACTATTTTTAATAACATATTAATAATCCTTTTTAAGTATTGAGATATTACTCCTTATAATAGATATACCATAGGGCATGAACTTAACCCTACAAACACCTGCCATTGTTCTTCTTCGTTCCACAGAAGACACCTTATTTTTTATTGAATGGGAGTTTGAAGTGACTCAGTGATGCCCTATTTAGGGTAATCCCTTACACTGCTTCCTTAGTAGCGTCGCTCTCTGATTTTATTTTATGTTCTGCAGGATATTATTGATCATATCTGGTGATAAACTTTTTCTCTAGCTTTTAACCCCTATTAGTATTTTTAAAACTGACAGCTTTGAGTTTTATTGAGAGATAGTTATAATACACTGCTGTAGGATATTGGTTCGTTATAATAAGTCCATCTCCATGTTATAGGTAACTGATGTTGTCTGCTGGTTGTTGTTGTTGTTGTTGTTGTTGTTGTTATTGTTATTGTTATTGTTATTGTTATTGTTATTATTATTGAAATGGTAACATTGCTGCTGTTATTGTTAATATTATTATTGTTCTCACTTTTATTTCCTGCCTTTCAAATATAGGATTCTTTCGTGGGTGTTAAGCCAACACGTTGCAAGTATACCTGAGAGCTCATTTCAGTATGCAAATGACAATGCTTTGTTACTTGCTAGGGTAAGTACTCGGTACTGTGGTGTTAGAAGCCACTTTCTCCATTTGTTTCACGATACAAAAGTTTTGTTGGTTGAAAATCAAGAGAAGCAATCAATACCTTCATTTTCTGTCTTCTTGATCCTAACTCCTAAGTCTCAACTATTGTAATTTTCAACAGGCATGCAAAGGGTAACAATTAAGGGTGGTTTGGGTATTATGCTGCTTTTTTGGCATTTTTAAAGATATTCAATGAGTTACTTGACCTAATGACCTGTATCTGTTGACATCGACGGAACTTGCTTCTTGTGCAGTCATTGCATGGAGCTCTTCTTGCTCTTCTTTATTCCTCTGCCATCTTGTCTGCTTTTACCGCAGTTGGACTTATTTTACTTGCCAGACAGCTCAAGTCAGATGATAAATGAGCTTAAGTGCTATCTCTTGAGTCTTGAGTCGATAGAAGTTTGGTTCAGATGTAAATGTATTACTTGTAAGTGTGTGTGTGTGTGAATCTTGCATCTTAATCCTAGTATCAGAGGAAAAAGAATCCTAGTACGTTTTTAATATTTTTTTTAGCCAGTCACCGCTCGACTAGCGCCTAACGCCTTCTAGAACATTGGGTTCATCCCCATTTAATTTCTCACTTCGGACGTTGCACCAAGTTTAAGCAAATGACAATTGCAGTTAGTATTTAATTCATTTTCATTTTCATTTTCATTTACCTCAGTGCCGCAAAGGCTCCCACCTACGGTGGGGTAAGGGGGGTCGGATGTACGCAGTCTTACCCCTGTACTAAAGCACAGAGAGACCGTTTCCGGATGACTCATAGTGAAAATCCCGTCCAAAATTGCATGGATTGACTGCTGCTTCATAATAAAGAAGCGCAAACAGTTTAGTGAGCCATTTTGCTTTATTCCATCATAATCTCAAGCCAAAAAATAATGAATTTTTGGCTCCATTGCAAATGATGGAGGATGCAGTTTGTATTTAATTCTCAAAGAAAAATATCAAAAGGGGGTGCAAGGAATAGTATCCAACAGTCATGAATCAAATTGGTCACAATATGTGTAATTCTGTTACTACAAATCAGAGTAACTCGAATATCATAGCATTAATGGACTTGGTTCGCAAATATGAGTTGATTATATTGGGATGTTTTTAGTTGAATTGAAATTTGTTGGTCTGGTGTAGTTTGTTTAAGTCTAGTTTGGTCTAGTCTGAACTGGTTTGGTAAATGTTTGGTCTCTATATTTTATAACTATGGTCTATGGAAGTCTGGTCTAGTCTGTTTAAGTCAGGTGTGTCTGGGGTAGTGTTGGATTCGGTTCGGGCCACCCGGCCCGTGACCCGGCCCGGCCCGGTACTGTGCGGGACCGGGTGTGGACTCGAACCGGTGGGAATGGGTGGGGCGGGCACGGTTCCGGATAAATGTGACTCGGCTCGGCCGGGTCGGGCCCGGGTCCGGGCCAACGGTCTGATTTTTAAATTTTTTTTTTTTAAAAAAATTGGTACTAGGCTACTAGCCGTTGGGGGTGGGCTGGGGACAACCCAAACGACTATATAGCCGTTGGGTGGGGTGCAGGGGGGTCCGGGGGGTTGGGTGGTGGGGGGGTGGGGGGTAAAAAAACCTATAAATACTCCTAATCTTAAACATTTTTTCATATCTCTTCTCCAATTCTTCCTAAATCCTATTCTTAACTCTCTAATTCTCTTATTCTCCAATATATTATATTTATTATTTATATATCTACTTTATAGTTTATACTTAAGAAGTTAAGATGGAAAATCAAGATGCCATTATACGGTATAATTTTGATAAGCAGAAGGACCCGAAGACCGGAATGTGGTACGCAATTTGCAAATGGTGCGAGAAAAAATGTAGCATGGGGGTTTCAGGCGGATACGGGATGGCAATCAAGCATATGAAGTCATGTGACAAAGCCAAAGGATCGGGAGGTGCGGGAAGTTCCGATTGATTACAATTTTCAAAATGTTTGTCTCTTAAAGTTTGTTTTAATTTTCAAATGTAGTTCCTATTTCATTTCAAATAAATGCACTTGAAGTTTGTTTTTAATACTCGTATAAAACTATAAAGTATAAACTATAAAATATAAATTATAAAAAAAACTTTAACCGATCCGGCCTGAACCGGACCCGACCCGTGACCCGGGCGGGTGGCCCGGCCCGAACCGGACCCGTCCAACCCTCGGGCCGGTCCCGGGCCTATATGATACGAACCGGCGGCCCGACCGGGCCTAGGCCCGGCCCGAGTCCATGACTACTCTGGGGCTGAAAACGGTCTAAGTAAAAACATCCTTAAACTGCACTTTTTCTTGATAAGGATCATGGCGAGTATACTTGGTTTGAAACTTTGAGTTATGCAAGATAAGCCCCGATACAAAACTGCAACAGGCTAGACTCTTGGGAAATGCCATTACCTAAGATGGTTGAGTGTTCATTGTACACAACATTTATAGAACTCAATTCCTAATTCCTATGAAGTTCTCTCAAAATCTTATGATTTAGGAATGAAGCTTTCTCACACCTAGAATTCACAATCACATCCACCACCATTGTTGACAAATTAAGCTTCCCACAAACATCCTCAGTTCCTCACGCATAGGGATGGACCCGGGCCGATCCGGTTCCAGTTCCGGGCCGGGCCCGAGCGGGCTTTTTTGGCAAAATGTTGGGCCCGGAACCGGCCCGGGTTGATACCGGGTCCGGGCCTAACCGGGCCGGCCCGGTCCCGGCCCGGTCCCGGCCCGGGTCAAGTTCAATTTTTTTTTTGATTTCTAATTAACACCTCCCCTTCACCCCCACCCCCCAAATCCTCCCAAAACACCCAACCCTAACCTAGAAAAGCAAAAAAAATTGAAAAGCAGTCTTTCACAACTTTTTTCAAATAATCAAGAAAAAATGTCTGATATCTATGATAGGGATATTTGTGAAGTGTTTTTGAAAGCTTTTAGTTAGACTGTAAAATCTTTTCTTTGTATTTTATAAAAGTAGAAGTATTTTTTCTCATTTTAGCTTGTAAATGATCCTTTGATTTCCAAATAATATGAGTAGCTAGAACTTATAAGCCAAAAACTAATACCCCTCTATCCGAAAATTAAGAGAACAAGATAATTGGTTAGTTTAGCTGGGCTTGCTAATGACGAATTGGGGTACACATGGGATACAGGTCTAGTTTTAATTGGGACAAATAGGCCGGACATGAATATTTGAGTTGATACAGACAATTCGTCATTTAACTTGGCGCAAAGTAATTTATTTATATTTCTTTTGGAAAATGGCGCATAGTAATTAAAAATGTCAAATCAAAGAAGAGTAAATTAAAAAATCAGAAAGTTGAGAGTTTTTTTGGCAAACATCCTTGAACTGGGATGAAATTCGAACCTGTAACCTCCTCGTTGGAAGTGTCACAGTGATGCCATCAGATCACAAGGTACTCGACAAAGTTGACAGAATTATAGAAAAAGAAAGTTGGCATGATTGTGTATAAACCAAAAATGAAAGTGTGACTTTAAAGTTTACGAATAAATTCAGTGGGTTATGCAGCCAATGATTCAATGCTTATTCGCTCAATCAAAGGCTTTATTACTATGTGGGTTAAAGTTTAAACCAAAACAAGCTACAACTTTTCGTTATATATGAATAGAAAAGTGACATTTCATTACATAAATACGCTGCAAGAATAAATAATTGCAAATTGCTACTTGTACACGCTGGTTTACATGTCGGTTTACACGTCCAAGTGTAATTGTCTCTATACGCAAACAATTACATTTGGGCGTGTAACCGAGCATGTACAAGTAACACGGTTGTAAATAATTTCATACAAAGCTTCTCTAACATTTTAGTGCTTTGCCATTTGTCCCTTGTCACTATATTCCAACTCTTCTCAGTGTGTAGTAGGCAATGCAAAACCTCAATCATGACATTTGTTTCTCAAGCTTCAAGTCGAGGCTTAATCATCAGTACATTATATGCCTCTTATTTCAAGAATTCCCTGCAAAGCTTCTGTAGCATTTTTACGCTTTGAAGTCACACTTGTCCATGTCGCTATATCCCAACTATTGACAATGTGTAGTAGTTCATGCAAAACCTCAATCATGACATCTATTTTTTCAAGCTTCGCGGAATCGTGGCAACTGGCAAGGACTTCATCATCAGTACATTATAAGCTTCAATAAGATGACAATTTTTTTTATTAACCTCCACTTATTCACTTGGGAGTAATTTTGAGATAATTTTATCTCTTTCATAACCCTCACTCCATATCATTATTGAAAGAGGCAAAAAGCACAACACAAGATTTAAATGGTTTATTATTATTATTACATTACATCGTTCAGAGGAAAGTAGAACATGTAACAGAGAGAGGAGGGAGTATTTTTTTACATGCATAATAGCCTTGTTATAGAGAAGAAGAGAAGAGCCCAGACCTTGAGCAGTTAATGAAGAGGCAAATGCCCAAAGTCTGCAATGCCAGGTTTATAAACTAACTGTATCAGAAGGGACAGTTAATCTTTGTACCATGATTCAGATTGTAAATCAAGTCAAGAATTTTTAGAATTGATGTGATCATTAACAGATACAAATGCATGCGTAAGCAGAACAACTACAACTTTATCCGCATGAGTCCAATAACCTGAAAACGGCCAGTAGTAGCCTCAGAAACAAGCGGTGTTTCCTTCTTCCTTTTTCTCCCACTCAATTTCCCTTCTCACCTAGATCCTGATTTGGTGGTGCTTTAGGCAATTCGTTTATTTGGAGTGGTCACTAGGTGGTTCAGGAGAATCTATCTATCTAGCTCATCCCATCCACCGAAGTCTTGTTTCTTTCTCACCTCATATCCATTCCTGCTGTTTTGTACTCCTCTCATTCTAATATCTCTAGCAGCATATGGCTGCTGCTGCTTCTTTTTCTTTGTTCTGGTGGATGCTTTTTGTCTTTGACGCTTGTAGGACGACGTTCTTCCTGAAAAAAATGTGTCAATTACTAAAGAAAGAGCAGATTGAGCTAAGGGCAGTGCCAATGCCATGACAATAGTGTTCCCACTTTCCCCTAAGAGCAATGATGATATGACTACGGGTGGGACCATCCAACCAAAGGCTCCGAGTATCTGCAGAAACTCCAAATGTTAATTGCCAAGCAATGCCTGAAACATTGAATATTATCATCACTAGTCACCAGTGTGTGCGGGTGTCTTCTATCAAACACTAAGACCCTGCCTTGCTGGATTAGTGCAACATGCTAGCCAAAAAGGTGATGGATGGACTTGAACTAGAATACAGGACTATTTATTCCACAACGAAAAAAATAAAATGATGAAATGATAAAACTACAAGTATACATTTGACACTGTATGATACATAATTAGGGGTGGTCATTTGGCCCGTGAGCTCATGGGTCAATAGGAAGACCAACCCATTCCATGGGACAAAAAGCCCGGTTTATATGTCTCATGGAGCACCTACTATTTGAGGGGCTGGGCTTGCGGTTATTTTTTCTTAAATCCAAGCAGACCATCATGGCAGGCTCAAGTCCGGCCTATTTGTCCCAATTAAGACTAGACATGTATCCCATGTGTACCATAAAATGCATGAACATATCTAGAATATCTAATAAATAGATTGGTGATTGGCAAATTTGAGGATTCAAGACAATGCAATATTGGGTCATTTATTATGGATACAATAGCCATTAGACAAGATTGGATGATAGTCATTGATACTAAAGAGTTTGAAGTTATCAATGATGATGATGAAAGAATATAACTCTGACAATTGGAGTATTAGATAAGTTCAATCTTTTGGTGGTTACTGCCTTTTTCGGTTAATGAGTTTTTACATTTTAATTTTTATGTTGACTATTTGTAATTTGTGGTAGATCCCTAGATGCAGTAAATATTTTGTGGCTAGACCAACCCAGCCAGACACATTGATGATCCGTAGACCACACCCACTCAGAGGCTCATTATAAATTATGCAAGATAAGCTGCAATACAAACTGTTGGGAAATGCCATAATTCAAGACAGTTGATTGTACACAATATTACTCTATATGGTTAAATTAGAACTTAGCACTACTTAGAAGCAATAAAATATTAAATATAGGTCTCAATTGCTTTTTGCATGCATTTTTATTAAAAAGAAATTATATGTGTTTAGTTTTGATAGTATTGTTCAAATAGTTCTAAATTTCAAATCAGAAAGGTAAATTAGAAAAAGTGATAAGAGTTAAAATAAAAACATAAGTAGGCATAATTGTGGATAAACCAAAAAAGACAGTGAAACTTATGTTATGGTTATGGTTATGGCATACTCTTTGCACCTTAAATTAAACAGATAAACCTCTTTGATTACGATATGTAGATTCTCAAATCACATGCAGTATGAATCAAATCCTGCCTGCCATTAAACATACTTACATAAGAGCAACAATTGCTAGACTAGTCAGTTCACATATGCTACATCCTGATATATCATGATAATCGTGCATCAACCAAGATAAAAAACATCCTTCATAGAAAAATGAGAAACTCTCATATGCAAATAAGCATCCTTTACAGAAAACGACCAGAATATGAAAGGGGCATAATCCTTTAGTGAAAATGAATAATCATAGCCAGATGTAGGGTACAATTTGCATAGAATGGTACCATAACGGCATAAACAATATCAATGCCCTTGCTACATATACCTAAGTACCTAACAAAGGTTTATTTTTAACTTTTTGAAAGAGCGCAAGTCTGGAGTTGCGCATAGATATCTTTAGCTCAGATGATACAGTACCTCGTGATCATTAAAAGTTGATAGAGATGCTGCCTGGTAAACACTATTCAATTGACCAATGTATAATACTTTCTTCATAGAATGCAACATTGTAGATTCCAGTATCAGTTTATCATATCTGATCCCTATAATTATATCTTTATATGTAAGTAGGAAGTGATTTTAACAGGGACAATAATTTCATTTCATCCAACAGTTTAGTGATTGGTAGAACCGTAGCAGCCACAAATAACAATAAAAATCTTCAAATGCTAATGCTTTTACCTTGAATATCCAGGAAACCCCAATTGAACCCTCCTTTGCTCCAAAACCTCCGAAATCTTCATCTTCATCTTCATCGTCATCTTCGAAGCCATTGCCACCGAACGGTTCATCATCTGACCACCAAGACCTCTGCTTGACGGCTTTACCAAACCCGAAATCCGCATCTCTTTGGCCTCCGTTAGCTAGGAAGTCCTCTTCAAATCTGAACCGTTGTTGGTTACTCCGAGCCTTACTCTCCCACCTAGAGCCGCCTCTATGACCGCCATGCCTGGCGCAAAAACAGCATACTGAGGTGGAAGAAGTGCGATTTAGAATAGAAATTGCAGTGAAAGGGGCAAGGAACTGATTATGCACAGGGGTTATAGTACTCATGGAAGGGAGCTGCCATTTACCAGCGAGCAACGGCAATGCTCTCTGCTTGATACTCTTTATACGTGTATTGTTTATCAAACTCACAAGATTTTGAGTGAGCGTTTCTACGTCCATAAGTTGAATCCCCAACCCAAGGCCCCCCACCCCGACCCGACAGGATGGTGGGGGAGTAAATCACGGTGACTCAGTCGGCAAAGCGGCAGTAGGACTTTACCCGTGCGCACCAGAGGGCCGGCCAGCCTTATTTCAGGTTCTAAAAACCCCCTTTTGGCCGCTGCGGGATTCGAACCTTGGTCTACGTCCAATTTTTCCCACCGCTCGACCAACTGAGCTACCCGTGCGGGTTTGAGTGAGCGTTTCTGAAATGGAAGGTCAGGGACCTCATTTTGGGAGGGGATGGTGAGATTGGGCCCCGCAAGAAAAAATTCGGTGCACCTCGGCGCACCTTTGTTTTTGCTAAGAGTAAGGGTGGGTGTAGTTAGAACCTAGAGTCCCAATTTACGGGAGTCGGATTTGGCAAATCCGACTAGGGAGGCCTTCCAAATTAAAGAGTACTTAGTCGGAATTGTGGAATCCGACTAGGGGGTTTGAATTTTTTGTTTCCATTATTTGTTTGATCCGAATGACTTAAAAATAAATAAAAGCTAGTCGGAACTGTGTAATCTGACTAGGGGTGTTTGAATTTTTTTAATGCCTAATAATGTGTAATTAAAAGAAATAAAAAAAAAAACAAAAAAAAAACTGTCGGATAGCCCACATCCGACTAGGGCTGTTGTTTAAAAATTTTATATTTGAAAATACATATATTTTGTTTTATTTTAAGAAATTTTATAAATTAAATTTTATAAATTAAATTGTTATTTTAAGAAATTTTATATTCGAGATAAATTTTGTTTTATGTAAACCATAACGTTAGAAGTATTTATTAGATAAAATTTATAATCAGATAAAATTTAATTAGATAAGTTCAATTAGATAAAATGAATCAGATAAAATTTTATCATATATAATTCAATCAAAATTCAATATTCTATCCAACCATATCTGCACGAAAATAAAGTGACCCAAAATTCAATACTTTATGTGCCGGATTATAAAACCTCCAATTTGACCCAATAAGGCACAATCATTCAAATTTTATGCAATCAGTCTATATCATGAACATGAGTTGTGAAATTGACCACGAGTTCCTTAATATAGAGATAACAATTTAATATTAACACTCGTGATTCACATTTTTTAGATCCGGGTCATAAAAACCCCAATTCGACCTGGTAAGGATACAATCTTCTGAAATGCAATTAGCATATATCATGAACACGAATTGTGAAATTGACCACGAGTTACTTAATATATAGATGAAATTTTAATATTCACATTTGTGATTCACATTTTTTAGACCCGGATCATAAAAACCCCCATTCGACCCATTAGGGATACAATCATTTGAAATGTAATCAACCTATATCATGAACACGAGTAGTAAAATTGACAATAATTTACTTAACATATAGATGGAATTTTAATATCCATACTTGTGATTCACATTTTTTAGACCCGGATCATAAACCTCCAATTTGACCGAATAAGGGCACAATCATTCAAATTTTAGGCAATCAGCCTATATCATGAACACGAGTTGTGAAATTGACCACGAGTTCCTTCATATAGAGATAACAATTTAATATTAACACTTGTGATTCACATTTTTTTAGGACTTTGGAAGTACGTATTTTAGTAATTTGTAAATTTTTAATTTAGATTGTGAAATTGGAATTTTAGAGTTAAATTTAGTTATCAAATTTTAGACTACTGATGATCGTTCACTACTCACGTTGCCACCGAATTCCCATCGTGCGGACCGTGTATGGTATGAACTAGAATCCAAATAGGAGGAGTAGCAGAAGTAGTAGTAGTAGTAATAATACCAACAGTAGGAGTAGTAGTAGTAGTGGTGGTGGTGGTGGTGGTGGTGGTGGTGGTGGTGGCGGCGGCGGCGGTGGCGGCGGCGGTGGCGGTGGCGGGTGGCGGGTGGCGGTGGCGGTGGCGGTGGCGGTGGCGGTAGCAGTAGCAGTAGCAGTAGCAGTAGCAGTAGTAGTGGTAGTAGTAGTGGTAGTAGTAGTGGTAGTAGTAGTGGTAGTAGTAATGGTAGTAGCAGTGGTAGTAGCAGTGGTGGTAGCAGCGAGCAGTGGTGGTAGCAGCAGTAGCAGCAGTGGTGGTGGTAGCAGCAGTAGCAGCAGTGGTGGTGGTAGCAGCAGTAGCAGCAGTGGTGGTGGTAGCAGTAGCAGCAGTGGTGGTCGTGGCGGTAGCAGCAGTGGTGGTCGTGGCGGTGGTGGTGGTGGTCGTGGCGGTGGTAGTGGTAGTGGTAGTGGTAGTGGTAGTGGCAGTAGTAGTAGTGGTGGTAGTGGCAGCAGTAGCATTGGTGGTAGCAGCAGTAGCAGTGGTGGTGGTAGTGGTAGCGGTGGTGGTAGTGGTAGCAGTGGTGGTAGTGGTAGCGGTAGCGGTGGTGGTAGCGGTAGCGGTAAAGGTGGTAGTAGCAGTAGTAGTAGTGGTAGTGGCAGCAGCAGCGGCAACGGCAGCGGCA